GTCAACCACAACCATCCCCTGGTCAACCATGGTCAACCACAACCGTACCCGGTCAACCGCAACCTGCTCCTGTGCAACCGTGGTCAACCAGAACCGTCCCCTGGTCAACCATGGACAACCTTGGCCACCCTATGGTCAACCACGGCATCCCCTAGACAGCCACAGTTCTCCATGATCAACCACAATCATCCCCAGTCAACCACAACCTGCTCCTGGTCAACCATGGTCAACCACAACCATCCCCTGGTCAACCATGGTCAACCTTGGTCACCCTATGGTCAACCATGGGGATCCCCCAGACAGGAATGGTCCTCCATGGTCAACCACAACCGTTCTCAGTCAACCACAACCGTCCTCAGTCAACCACAACCATCTCCTGGTCAACCATGGTCAACCCTGGTCATCCTGTCATCAATCCCAGGAATTCTCTTGGCAACCATGTTTCTCCATGGTCAACCACAACCGTCCCTTGATCAACCATGGTCAACCTTGCCCATGGTACGGTCAACTATCATACCGCTGACAACTACAGTTCCTCATGGTCAACCATGACCATTCCATGATCTACCACGGTCAACCTTGGCCATCCTATGGTCAACTACAGTCACCACGTTGACAACCACAGTCCTTCATGGTCAACCTTCACCATCCTGCGGTCAACCTTGGCCATGCTGTGGTCAGCTACAGTCATCCTGTCAACAACCATGGACAACCATAACAGTCTCCAATCACACCACAGTCAACTGTAGCGTCCCATGGGTGGCCATGATCAACCCCGGCTTGTTATGGTCATGCTGTTGTCATCTCCCAGTCAACCGTGGTCGTCTACAACCACCTCATGCTCACCCCATTGTCAACCATGGTCATCTACAGCCATCCGATGGTCACCCAGGGTCATCAATGACCATCCCATGGTCACCCATGGTCAACCTTGGCCGTCCAAGGCCACCCATGGTCGACCATGGCCAACGTTGACCATCCAAGGCCACCCCATGGTCAACGTTGGCCATCCAAGGCCATCCCATGGTCACCCATGGCCAACGTTGGCCGTCCCATGCTCAATGTTGGCCATCCAAGGCCATCCCATGCTCACGCATGACCATCCCATGGTCGACCATGGCCAACCTTGACCATCCAAGGCCATGCCATGGTCAATTTTGGCCATCCAAGGCCATCTCATGGTCATCCATGGTTGACCATGGCCAACGTTGACCATCCAAGGCCATCTCGTGGTCAATTTTGGCCATCCAAGGCCAT